CAGCGACATAGCCATTAACGCTAACTGCTGGTTCCCAAACAGTGACATCCCTTATGGAGAAGGATGGTGGTACGGCTCACCGTTAGGGTCCCTGAGGGTCAGAGGTAATAAAGAAGGCAAATCCCATCCGTACTCATAGGCCGCCATGCTGAATGGGCACCGACTGCAGTCCACTCAAAAAAGCCACCTTCGGGACAAGCGGCTGTGTGGTGATGCATCCGGACCACATGGGAGGTCTTGAGCTCACAGCACAACGCTCCTCGAACACATGGGGAACACGAGTGTGTCTGCTCAGCCGGCTGGGGCTAGAATGGGTAGTGGTGCTCCGTCCCTTCTGGGAGTGCCCTGTTTCTCTCTTTCAGAAGGAAAGAATAAACTTTGGGGCCGCCAGGTGGTATGGTTGTTAAGCATGCAGGACTCCCACATGAACCACTGTGGTTCAAGTCCTGGATCTGGCGGCTTGCTTTCTCACTTTCCCTTTCTGCATTTTTTTTTTCTACGTTGGTTGAAGTCTTTGGTTTCAATTTCCAGTTTTTGCTGCTATCAGAGTTGGCTGACTATGACCCTAACCTCTTACCTGTGGGATTTTGTAACCACGGCTCGGTGCTGTTCATTCTCCCAGTCCGAACGGAGGTGGCCGCTTCCTGCAGGAACCACCTGTCTCTGCTCCTCCTCAGTGTCATCTTGTGGTTTCCCTGTGTCTGTTTAACCATTTCTCTGTGCTCAAGATCTCTCTTTCAATGTGGATGAGGTATCTCTCTTTTTCTGAATGAATCCTAACTGCCTGAAATATTTGGAGTTTATCAACCTGTCGGGATATGTGCCCAGACGTGTATCACTCCCACGTTCTGCCTCTGTCCTCACGTGACCTTTCCCTCTGTGTACGCATCTTCACGGGGCCTTCTGTGACCACGCGTCTTCAGATTGAGGACACAACCCACATTCGTATGTGCTTATCCGAACTAATGACAGCTAGAAATTCTTGTTTTCAAATCCGGTCATATTCTGAGCTTCCCGATAGATCTGAATTGGGGGGGGGGGGTTAACTAACCCAGTAGCACTGTCTAGTGCTTTAGTCAACGTGGTTATGGCCGGAGTTCATGAACAAATAGAAAGTGAACGGATTGTTCCCGCGTCAATTCCGGTCACTTAAAAACCACGTGCGAATGTACTTAGCCCCTGTGGATATGAGACGGCAGTGGCTTAGAACTTGTCAAGTTGGAGCAGAAACATGGAAAGGTACCCTTCACCCGTAGCTTCCAAGAAGTGGCGTCTGAGTTGTGTTTGCACGCCGGGCGTGTGTGCGTGCGTGCCCAAAATCCCGAGAGGAGAATTGAGAAGGGATTGTGGCAGCATCATCCCCCCTATCCTGCGTGAGGGTGATTTCTTGCTTTCTGTCTCTTTCTCTGTCTCTCTGGCAAATGAATGCATGCACCCTACAACAAAAACATCTCTCAAAAAGAAAACAAACAAACAAAAAAATGTAGGCGAGTTTGGAAGAGAAGGCCTTCAAGGCCAGATGTGTGCTGTGGACTGTCTACATCCGCCCGGCTCCAACTGTGATGAGGTTGGTGGGTGTTTTGGCCTCCCCGGGATTAGGGAAGAGAATGCGATGAGGCAGTCACCTTTGAGCCATGGATGTCACCTCCATCCAGATCAGGAGGATTCAAGGTGAGAAAGAGGGGCCCAGTCTGCTGGCTCAGTCCATGACAAATTGAACTGTGCTAGAAGCCACACGGCCAAATATGGGCTCAGATCTTTCAGTGGCCCGAAAACGTGCAGGTCAGGTCGTACGCCCAAGAGCCCGATGAACTGCAGGGCTGGGGAAGGGGGACTTCCATGGAAGGAGAGCCTGCCAAGGGCGCCTTTTTTTCTCCTGCGTGCATAAATTTTTAAAAAGAATTTCTAATTTAATTTGATTCATTATTATTATTATTATTTGCTATATTACATGTATAGTCATTAGAGAGACAGGGAGAGGCAGAAGGATAGTGAGAAAGCAAGCCACCAGGTCCACAGCTTCAACTCCTGTTGGCCACATGGGAGTCCAGTGCGTTGCCTGCTGGCCCCATGAATTTTTTTAAAAACTTAAAAAATGGGAGTCAGCAGTTGGTGTGATGTTCAAAGGCCTGGGACCCCTACATGGCCAACAGTAGTTCAAGACCTGAACCTCGTGGCTTGCTTTCTCACTTTCCTTCTTTCTCTTTGTCTGATTAAAAACTACAAAATAATAATAATAAAGTTCAATAAAATAATTCTTTAAAAAAGAAAACTTAAGAAGGTAGATAGGAGGCCCCTGGTATGACAGAACCAGCCAGAAGCTATTCAGTGATTGCATTGATAGGAAACAGATCTGTAGAGACCATGGGTTAGTGGTTGCCTTATGGGGAGAAGGAAGGGAAACAGATGGTGAGTGATGAATAGATATGGAGGTGTTTTGGGGGGCGGGGGATAGATAGTGGTGATGGTTGTGTGACATCGAACCAAAGACATGTCACTAACGGTAAATTTTATGTTGCATTCATACACATATATATATGTATTTTTTTTAAAGAGGTTTTGCCCTTAAAGTGTATATATTTGCAAGGGAGACAGACACTGTGAAAAGACAAGTGAGAGATCACTCCCCAGGGAGATGGCCACTCCATTATCCCTTCTCCATTCTCCTGGGATCTTGGGCCCCATGCACACGTGGCCAACAGGATTTTCAAACCCTGTGGTCCGGGACTCGAACCGCAGTTGGCCATGTGGGAATCCAGTACCATAACCTTACGCCATCCGCTTGTCCTATCGTATGTATCTTTTGCAATTTCAAAGCAGTAAGGCCGGGAGTATCGTGGACCTTTGATGCGAGTGAAGAAGACCGAGAGGATGCAGTGGTTGCAGTGTTGTTCCTGGTTGTTGTCGTCTGTTTTCGCGTGGCTAGCAGAAATATCCATGACTGGGTGAATTCAGGAACAGATACTTATTTGGACTCACAGTTCTGGTGGCACTGATGTCCAAAGGCATCCCAGAATGGTGGGAGGCTAACAGCATGCTGACAGGAGCACAGAGAGACAGAGAGACAGAGACAGACAGGCAGCTGCAGAATGTTCCCGTGGGGCAAACATCTTGCAGGAGAACCAGCTCCTCAGGAGAAAGAGAAGTTTCTGGGTCTTGAAAGACAAATATGGTTTTTTTTTTTCATGAGTGTGATTCCATGATTCAGTCACGACTCACTAGGCCTCACCCCCATCCCAAACTCAAATTCCAAAACAGACGTTGGGAGCCAGGGCTTCATTTGAACTGTCACGCAGTGCTTACAACTGAGGCTTTTACTTTTAGAGAAATCTTGCTATAGGGCACGTTTGCTCATTGGAGAGACAGAAACAGAGACAGAAAGTGAGAAGTCATCCCCTCAAGGGGGATGGCCATGCCACAATCCCTTCTCTTCCCAAAATCGTGCGTAAGCACACACAGGTGCCCGACATGAGTTTTAAGCTGCTGGGTCCAGGACTTGAACCACAGCCAGCTACATGGGAGTCCAGTGTAACCATTATGCTGTCTCCTGGTCCGTAACTGAGACTGAGTAGTAGCAGTAACTTGATCTGTGCCAGGGCCTTGTTCAGCTCTCTTCCCAGGTTTGGTCTGCATTTGCTCATATTCATCCATCACCAATACCAGAGAGCCCCTGAACACCTACTGTCTACACAGAGGGCAGTTAGCCTGGATTCGAACCTGGGTTACCGTTCTCAGGATGACTCACCAGCCAGCCTGGTTTGCCCAGACTGATTCAGTTTTCCTAGGGAACATCCTGTGTCCCGGGAACTCCTCGGTCCAGGGCTAACAGAGCAACTGGTCACCTTCCTGGGGCGGATCGGACTGTGAACAGTGCTCGCCTAGGGCCTTCTAACCGGGGCCTGTTCTCAAACCCGCACCGTCCACCGTCAGTTTAGAACCCTTGGTTTAATACCTCAGTACCTCCAATAAATCCTTTTGTGGCTTTTTAAGATCCATCATGTAATATTAATGACAACACCGTGCCTTCTGTCGGGATTAATCTTTGATGAACAATAATACGTCTGATTAAACTGGGTGATTTCCTAGGGCCTGTGGTACAGGGTGGGGCGTGTGGTGGCATGCAGTTGGTCCCGGAGACAGGCAAGGTTCTTAGGCAGGGCGGGTGATGTCTCCAGTACGCACTCGTTCCTGGCTCTGGCTGAGGGGAGCTGCGTTGTGAACAGCTGGGCGAGACCACAGAGCATGAGCTGCTGGTCTGCAGCCAACCTCACAGGAGGCACGTGCCCAGCCTGTGAGGCGTCCCGGGCAGGGAGTCGGGCCAGATAGTAAGAGTGTGTGTGTGTGTGTGTGTGTGTGTGTGTGTGTGCGTGTGGTGGGGGAATGGCTGCTTCACATCTGACCCTAGTTCCCCGTTTTTGGCTGCCGTCCAGCTGCTCTGGTTCCCCGTGTCAGAGGATCTCTTGAGTAGTCCTGACATGTCCTCTGTAGGTGCCGTTTCTTTTTCTTTCTTTTTTTTTTTTAAGAGGTTTTTGCTATAGGGCGCGTGTAGTTGCCAGAAAGGCAGAGACAGACAGAGAGGCAGAGATTGAGAAGTCACCCCCCGGGGGGATGGCCACACCACGATCCCTTCTCCATTCTCCTCTCGGGATCTTGGGCACACACGCATCCGCGCCCAGCATAAGTTTAAGCCACCGGGTCCAGGACTCGAACCACAGTCGACTACATGGGAGTCCAACCACATAGCCATTACGATAACTGCTGGGCCCGTGTAGGTGCCATTTCTCACACCAAGAACTCTTGCTCTTGCCAGCCGCTGCTCCAGTTACAGGTCAGACCGTGCCAGTCTCCCGGTTCACGCCCGCCTTTTTCCTGAGGAAGCGGATCTAGTGGTCTGGGCCCCCTGGGGTTGCATTTTCGGTGGGACAGAAGCAGCTCTGAGCGTGTTTGGTGTCTGGAGCAAGGGCCCTGCTAACGTGTCCAGGTCGTGTTTGGTTTTCCAGCTGAGCATCGAGCAGGCCCAGACGGTGGCAGAACAGGTGGAGATGAAGGCCAAGGTGGTGCAGTCGGAGGTGAAAGCCGTGACGGCGAGGCACAAGAAGGCCCTGGAGGAGCGGGAGTGCGAGCTGCTATGGAAGGTACCGGGGCCGCCAGCGGATTTTCCAGAACCCTGCAGCACTCCCCCTTGTAGCGTCCTACTTGACATCCTGGCCCCAGCTTCTGAGCTGAGAGCACTGGCTTCTGAGCTTAGAGCACCGGGTGGCTTTTCAGGAAGCCTGCTGCGGGAGATGCAGGGGCTCCCAGGAACATCAGGGGTACTGTCTGCCCAGTGGCACAAGAAGAAGTTGAGGAACAGGCCTACCTTGGAGATGCCCCCATCCCACGGCAGGGTGCAGGGAGTGCAGTCCGGACTGCCTTAAGAGCTGGCGGGGCTCCCGGCTGCTTGCACTTGCTGACCTTGGGGGGAGCGTGTGTCCCTCCCACGAGGCAGGGAGGAGTGCTGAGCACACCGCAGCACTGCTACATACAAGCCCCCGAGGAAGGCCCCCCCACCCCGGCTTTCCAATTGGGAATTTTGTATCCCCACACAAGGAGAGCTTGGTCTGAGAACGGGCCAGTGCCCCATGCCAGTTAGTTCAGTTGGGGTTGATTGCTCTGGCCACACTGTAGACCGCAGGCTGATTTAAAATAGTGTTGTAGGGGCCAGCAGGTGGTGTGGTTAAGGCGCTGGATCCCACATGGCCAACTCCACAGTTCGAATCCCGTACCCAGTGGTTTGAAAATCACACCGGGCACGCGTGCCCACTCAAAATCCTGAGAAGAGAGTGGAGGAGAGGGGCTTCTGGGGTGGCCGTACTTCCGGAGGATGACTTCTCACTTTCCTTCTCTCTGTCTCTGGCAAGGCACACACCCTACAGCAAAACCTTTTTTGTTTGTTTGTTTTCTTTTTCTTTTGCCATAGGGCGTATACTTTGAAGAGGGTTGGCAGAAGTGAGGGTGAGAAAGGCCCCTCCCGCCCCCGCATGGTCACACGCAATCCCTTCTTCTCTCTTTGTCAGGATTTTGGGTTGGTAGGCACTCACCCCTGAGGTGTGTTTCTAGCCTGGGACCCGCAATACACAGCTGGCACGTGGGAGCCAGCGGCGGTAACTTCTGTACCACGGTAACACTGGCTGGGGCCCACCTGCCTTTTTTTTTCATGCTTAGAAGGCACAGGCAGAGAGAGCGAGGGAGGGAGGGAGGAAGAGAGAGAGAGGGAGGGAGGGAGAGAGAGAGAGGGAGGGAGGGAGGAAGACAGCACCCTTGAATGGGACACGATCACACTGCATTTCCTTCTCTGTCTCTCCGTCCTGTGGGGATCCTGGGAACATGCGCTCACGTACCTTGTGGGGTTCTCCAAGCCGCGGAGGCCAGGCATTGACCGCGCAGCCAGTTGTGTGGAAATCACTTCTATATGTGAGCCATATTTGAAAATTATTCACAATATATTGTACATTTTAAAAAATACTAAGTCGTCTAAATCTTTACCTTCAGTCTAAATCTTTTACCTTAAAGTTCTTCTCTGGGTGAGACGTGTGTCACACATACTCACCCACTTTGTGGGGCTAATGGGGGCCCCCTGCTGGAGAGACTGGGACTTGTGCTTGTTCTGTTCTTACACTGTATGGCGGAACAACGGGGGTTCAGTTTCTGAGAGCGACTCTCACTTAATACAGTCTCAGATTTTGGAAGACTCTTGGATTTATGTTAAAAATGTAAAATTTTAATTTTCTTTTGAATTATTTAATTATTATTTGTTCTCCTTCCTTCCTTCCTTCCTTCTTTCTTTAGTTAAATTGGACCAGAGAACAGACACAGGGGTAGGGCAGGTTAGAAAACAAGTTGCCAGGTCTAGGACTCAAACTGCAGATATCTAGGTGGGATTCCAGCACCTCGGTCACCATGCCACCTGCTAGTCCTTACATTTTATTTATTATTATTATTATTATTATTTTAACTAGGTCAGAGAGTGGGAAAGTGAGAAAGCAATCTGCCAGGTCTGGGACACACACCAGGGTCGACCACGTGGGTGTCCAGCATCTCAATCTCCATGCCACTTGCTGGCTCATTATGTTAGATTTTGTATGTAGCCCCTATGACAAGTTGCTTTCTGCCTCCTCTGACCTCTCAGGGACTATAGTTCAGTTGCCTTTTTTTTTTTTAAAAAAAAAAAAAAGGATTTTTTAAACATTATTATTATTACTGCTCCTTTTTAATTAGATGAGATAGAGTGTGAATGAGAAAGCAAGCTGCCCGTTCTGGGACTCAAAGATTGGGCGGTCCAGTGCCTTAAGCACCGTGCCCCCTCAATGATCTTTTTTTTTAAAAAAAAAAGTTATTTAAGTAATTTTATTTATGATCATCATTATTTTTTAAAATTTGCTATCAGGCATGTGTGCTCACTCAAGAAAGTGAGGGAAAGTGAGAAAGCAAGTCACCAGACCTGGGACTCGGACCTCAGTCTGCCTTGTGGGAGTCCAGAGCCTTAAACTGCTATGCCACCCTCTGGGACTTCACTTGCCCTTTTTTTTTTTTTTTTCCCCTCTTCTCTCTTTTTTTGGAGAGAGGTTTTTGCTATAGGCAGGTGCACTCGCCAGAAAGACAGGGAGAGACAGTGAGAAAGAAAGTGAGAAGTCACCCCCCAGGGGGGATGACCATGCCACAATCCCTTCTCCATTCCCTCAGAATCTTGGGTTTGCACGCACATGCGCTCAGCGTGAGTTTAAGCCACCGAGGCCGGGCCTCAAACTGTGGTTGACTACATGAGAGTCCAACAACATAGGCATTACCTTTCAGGAGAGATGGAAGTCAGGTTTTGCTCTCGGCGAATCAGGTTTGGAAGAAGTGCCAGTCTCTTTCAGCAATTAAAATGAGCTGTTTCCAACATGCTAAGAAACTCATCTCGTGTCCTTCTAAACTAAGCTTGTTTTAGACACACCAGGGTCCTTTGTCATGACTTTCTGGCCCTTCCCACCAAAGCATCCTGCCTGTCTTCTATCTGGGAAACCCTTCCTTTCTTCCTTGCCTGGTTATAGAACATTAAGATAGAAAAGTGCAAGGATTCTGCCTTAATCGGACAGACAACTCGTTTTCTGTCTCTGGACACACCTGTCCGTTCCTCGTTCCTGAGAGACTTCTAGTGGGGTTAGCTGCAACTGTCTAGGCCGGGGGTTAGAACGGAAGGTAGATGTTTGGCTCCAAGCACAAAACTTGTTTTTCTTTTTAAGGTTTTTGCCATAGGGTGTGCACACCTGTTAAAGGAGACAGAAAGAGATGGGAGGTGAGACAACACCTCAAGGGACTAGGTCCAAGACTTGAGCCCAATCGACCATGTGCGAATTCAGTGCTTTAACCACCATGCCATGTGCTGGTCCCCGCACCCCGCACCAGACCTTTCGTATAGGATGCCCACGTGCACCTGTCTGTGCTCACATGCCCTAGGTCTAGAATGAACGTGAAAAAAAGCACGAATGGGGGGCCACCAGGTTGCATGGTACTTAATGTGCCGGACTCCCAAAGAGCCGACTCTGTGTCGATTCCCAGACCCGGTGGCTTGTTTTCTCTCTCTCTCATCAAATTAAAAAATAAAAAGAACATTTAAAAATTAAATAATTATTTTTTATAAAGTATGAACACCGGGAACCAGCAGTTAGCGTAATGGCTATGTCGCTGGACTCCCACATAGTCAACCGTGGTTCGCTTCCCGGACCCGGTGGCTTTAAACTCACGCTGGGCGCGTGTGCGTGCGTGCCCAGGATCCCGAGAGGAGAATGGAGGAGAAAGTATTGCGGCGTGACCATTCCCCCCTGGGGGATGATTTCTCGCTTTCTGTCTCTATGTCTCTCTCTGTCTGTCTGGCGAGCGCGCGCGCCCTATAACAAAAACCTCTCCCCCCCAAAAAAAGTATGAACACCTAAAAAAACCCAAAAAACAAAAACTAAAAGCACTTCCTCAACCTCCTCCCCTCTACGGGAAAAATCAGATTAAAATCTAGTCCTCCCTAAACAGTTGCCCCTCATTCTGAAAGAGACTTTCTCTTGTCTTCAGATCATTATAGCACCTTGCAAAACCGCATGGACTGGCTGAGTAGGTGTTCCTTCGTAGGGAGACTCCCTTAGACTAGGTAGAGTTTTATTTAGTTATTTAAATGTAAAATAGTGGCGAATTATTTTATTGGTCGGAATTTCACATTTCCTAATAATGTGAGCTAAAAACTTTAGAAGCAAGAACTTTTGGCAGGCGAGAATCCATGTTCATAATAGCATAACATTTTAGATTTCAGTGCAAAAACCTCAAAAAGTTTTCAAAAGAATGTAGGTCGAGACATAGGTGTCATGGTATTTAAGGCCCTGGCTTCCCGTGCGACCAGCTGCGATTGTGTCCTGTACGCGGCCGCTTGACAGTCATACTGGGCGCGTGTGTGTGCATGGTCCAAATCCCGAGACAGTAATGGAGAAAGATTGTGATGTGGCCATCCTCCCCATGGGGTGATTTCTCAGTTTCCCTGTCTCTCTAAAGCAAGTGCTTGCATCCTCTGGCAAAAACCTAAAACCATATTTAAAAAAAAAAGAAAAGAATGTAGGCAATTTATTGTTCAAAACTTGTTACGTCCAAAGTTGGGGGCGCAAGGGCTTTTCAGGTTCCTAATTGTGCTTGTGAAGCTTATTCTTAAAATGCATGCAAAGAGAGACTCTGGGGATGGGTGTTTTGTTTTGTTTTGTTTTCTTTCTTTTTCTTTTTTTCCTTTCCCTAAGACAGAAAGAACCTTGATTTAAAACTTCCTTACCTTCTCTCTGCAGTCTTTGTTCCCGCGTGAGTTTGTTATGTGAGTGTTTGCGAGAGAGACGCAGAGATTGCAGGCTCCCTGTCCACTGTAACCCAGAGTCATGGTTGTGGGGGTCGGAGAGCACAGGATCGGCCTTGCAGTTAGTCCATTTACAAATCTCGCCACCTTCTCAGCCACTCTGTTGCCTAAGCCACCACCATTCCTTCCCTGGGTGATCTTTGGTCTCTGTTTTCCGCTTGTACCGCCTTCCAACACCTATTCCAAAATGCTGACTGTTTATGGATGTGAGCTCACCCCTGTCACTCCCCAGGTAACACTCTCTGTGTTCGGTGTTTAGGCCGAGCCAGTGCCCGTGTGAGGGATCTTTGCACCTGGTATTTCTTCCCCTGCTTGAGGATCCCTTTCCATGTAGCCTCCTGCCGGCCTCAGCCTTTAGGGCCGACTTTGTGACAGAAACTGGCCCTGACCACCCTCTATCCAAAGCAGCTCTCACCAGTCACCATTTTGCACATCCTCTTTCCACTGGGGACAGATGACATCCAGTGTGACCTCCCATTGTTTGCTTGTGTGACACCTGCTGTTTTAGAGTGCGTTTCTGTGAGATCCAGGGCCACGTATTTTACTGGCCACTATGTCACCTGGCTTGATGGCTAGATGACATTTTTTTTTTTTTAAACGAATGAGGGATTTTTGCGATAGGGTGGGTGCGCTCTCCAGAAAGACAGAGAGACAGAAGGTGAGAAATCACCCTCCAGGGCGGATGGCCATGCCACAACCTCTTCCGTTCTCTTCTCGGGATCTTTGGCATGCACACAAACACACCTGGCGTGAGTCTCAAGTCCAAGACTTGAACTGTAGTCGATTATATGGCAGTCCAGCGATGTAACCATTAATGCCATCTGCTCATCCTTAAAAACACTTTTAAGCCAAGATTTTTTTTTTGAAGAATTATTTATTTAATTTAATTTTTTATTATTCTAATATTTTTTAACTTGCTATAGGGCACGTGTGTTCACCAGAGAGACGAGAGTGAGAGATAACGTGAGAAACCACTCGCCAGGTCCTAGACTTGAGACGCCAGATCCGAGATTCAAACGGGAGTCGACCATATGCGAGTCCACTGCCCTAACCACCTCGCTACCCACTGGCCTTTTATTTATTTATTTATTTATTTAATTGTCAGAGGCTTGTGCAGTGACTAGAAAGCAAGGGAGAGACCACCTCCCAATAGGCGTATGTTGCAATCCCTCGTTCTCTATTTTCCATCCTGTTATTTGTGACACATACATACATGTGTGGGTTTTTTTTTTTTTTCATACATGTGGTTTTCAAGCTGCTGGACTGAGACTCGAACTGTACCCATGGCCATGTGGGATCTAGTTCCTTTTACCACTAGGCTACAGTAGCCCAGGAAGCTGATGCCAGGCTTGTAGTGGTATCTGATCCTTGGCCCACAGTTCGGCCTCCACAACCGGCTCAGATGGGCATCCTTTTCCGCTATTCCTCCCGCTCCACCCAGGGCCACTCACTGCATTGAGTTGGCTGCTCCTTACCTGCTCCTCTCCCCTACCCCCGAACCGCTCCTCGGCTCTGTTCCGTCTCTCTTGGTTGTGCCGTGTTTGAACGGTGCCAGCCGGTGGTCTTCTGCAGACTGCCGTGCACACGGGTTGGTCTTTGTGGGTTGTGGGTTGCTGTCCGCGCTTGGTTCTAAGCCTTCGTGTCCTCTCTCCTGCTCGCTCCTTGCTCTCCAGGTGGAGAAGATTCGCCAAGTGAAAGCCAAGTCCCTGTACCTGCAGGTGGAGAAGCTGCGGCAGCACCTCACCAAGCTGGAGAGCACCATTAGCGCCGTCCAGCAGGTGCTGGAGGAGGGGAGGGCCCTGGACATCCTGCTGGCCCGAGACCGGATGCTCGCCCAGGTGCAGGAGCTGAAGACCGTGCGCAGCCTCCTGCAGCCCCAGGAAGACGATCGGGTCATGTTCACGCCCCCGGATCAAGCCCTGTACCTCGCCATCAAGTCCTTTGGCTTCGTGAGCAGCGGGGCCTTTGCACCTCTCACCAAGGCCACCGGCGACGGCCTCAAGCGGGCCCTCCAGGGTAAAGTGGCCTCCTTCACTGTGATTGGCTATGACCACGATGGTGAGCCCCGCCTCTCAGGAGGCGACCTGATGTCAGCCGTGGTCCTGGGCCCCGACGGCAACCTGTTTGGTGCAGAGGTGAGCGATCAGCAGAACGGGACGTACGTGGTGAGCTACCGGCCCCAGCTGGAGGGCGAGCACCTGGTGTCGGTGACCATGTGCAACCAGCACATCGAGAACAGCCCCTTCAAGGTGGTGGTCAAGTCCGGCCGCAGCTACGTGGGCATCGGGCTCCCGGGCCTGAGCTTCGGCAGCGAGGGCGACAGTGACGGCAAACTGTGCCGCCCCTGGGGCGTGAGCGTAGACAAGGAGGGCTACATCATCGTCGCCGACCGCAGCAACAACCGCATCCAGGTGTTCAAGCCCTGCGGCGCCTTCCACCATAAATTCGGCACCCTGGGCTCCCGGCCCGGGCAGTTCGACCGGCCAGCGGGGGTGGCCTGTGACGCCTCACGCAGGATCGTGGTGGCCGACAAGGACAATCATCGCATCCAGATCTTCACCTTCGAGGGCCAGTTCCTCCTCAAGTTCGGCGAGAAAGGAACCAAGAATGGGCAGTTCAACTACCCGTGGGATGTGGCCGTGAATTCCGAGGGCAAGATCCTGGTCTCGGACACACGGAACCATCGGATCCAGTTGTTTGGACCCGATGGGGTCTTCCTGAATAAGTACGGCTTCGAGGGTGCTCTCTGGAAGCATTTCGACTCCCCGCGGGGTGTGGCCTTCAACCATGAGGGCCACTTGGTGGTCACCGACTTCAACAACCACCGGCTCCTGGTCATTCACCCCGACTGCCAGTCGGCACGCTTCCTGGGCTCAGAGGGCACCGGCAACGGGCAGTTCCTGCGCCCACAGGGCGTGGCTGTGGACCAGGAGGGCCGGATCATCGTGGCTGATTCCAGAAACCACCGGGTACAGATGTTCGAGTCCAACGGCAGCTTCCTCTGCAAGTTTGGCGCTCAAGGCAGCGGCTTTGGGCAGATGGACCGCCCCTCTGGTATCGCTGTCACCCCCGACGGCTTGATCGTTGTGGTGGACTTCGGCAACAATCGAATCCTCATCTTCTAATCGCATTTTCTAGATTTCTGTGTTTGGGGTGTGCGTGTGTGCGTCTCTCTCTCTCTCCCTCTCTCTGTCTTGTCTGTCTCTTTCTCTCTTTTTGAATTTCAAAGAAGAAACCGTCTCAGGGAAATTTCTTTTTTCTTTTTATTTTTTTTTTTAAAGAGAACAAGAAAAGTACAACATTGCTTAAATCCTACCTCATCTTTATTTTTTTACAGATGAATGTACTTAACCTTTTCTGCAGGGATTGAGCCTGTGAAGTGATAATTTCTATCTACCTCATAAACCTCTGCATCTCCTTCTCCAGCAGGTCCTCTGTCCCACCTCGGTGGAACTCCCTTTCTCTCTCCCCCTGCGGGGCACGATATGCACAAGCCTGGCATCTGTACAGCTGGGAGGGCACTGGATATGTATGGCGGGCACGTCCTGTAGATTGAGCCAAGGGAACGCAAGAAACTACTACGTGAACCAAACGAGACACTATGAACGTGGAGAAATAGGATTGTAAAATGCATACGTAGAGAATATTTGTGTTCTTGAGAGTCCTGTGTTCATATGGGGTTCGATTGCGTTGTGTGGTTTGCATCTTTCGGGGGAAAATTTGTGTAAGACGTCGCAGCAGAGAACTTTGCTCCGTTCTCCTCTCGACCTCAGCGTGTTGAACATCCTTTTCAACATCTTTTCTTACTCCTAGAAGATGTGGCTGCGGCTTGCTCGCCAAGAAAAGCAGACCATTCATGTTTTGGGGTATATAATCTTTATTCATTTCAGGGAGGGGACGGTGTATGTGCGTATGTGTGATTGTGTGTGTGTGTGTGTTTTAAAGCCATCTTGAACCCAAATCGGAAAACTAAACGCGACACACCACCTCCCCAGAACATTTTTCTTTTCCCACTTTGGTTTCTAAGACAGATGTAGCTCAGGATTCCCAATTAAAAGTAATCTCAAAAGTTTAGTATTCTTATTTTGCCGCTCGTTGTAAAGAGTCAAGCAGAAGGAAGAAGGAAATGGCCTCTTTCTCCAGGTTTCTCGGACGTGGACTGACGCATGGACGTGAGTGAGGGTGGACGTGTGCGTGCTCAGTCAGCATGTAGCGAGGGCACGGAAGATCAAGGCACACCCCTAAGCTGGGGACTTGGGGGTTGTGGGTTCGCAACCCCTGACCTTAGCATGAACGTCGTCCTGTTGTGAGGCCTAGGAGTTTTCTTTCTTCTGAAGAGTAGGTAAAGGAATGAACTTTTTGTTCTAAAAGCACAATTTTTTTTTTCCTGTGTTGGAAGTTCAGGGAAGTTAGAATGTTTGAGAGTCACGTCATAGGAACAGCCCAGTCCCATCCCCTCTCCTCGGGTCACTTCCCCAGCACCCAAGCCTTGTTCTAGGACCTCCTGGCTCCCAGCAATCCCCTGACCCCCTGAGGCCTTTGAATGTAAAGGATTTGTAAACCAAATGGTCCCAACCTGAAATGTCGGACAAAATATCTTTTCTTGAACTTGTAACTAGGAACCAAAGAATGAAAACGGAAGCCAGGCTCCCACTGCCAGACTGGGGGAGGGCACCTGTGTCACTTTACAGCATGGATTTGTTGTCAGCTGGACGTCAGCACAAGACTTGATGCTTCTGGGCATTCTCTTTCAGGAGGGAAGCAGGTGTGACAGATGCCCGGCCTGTCTGACCCCACGTGGGTCCCTGGATTCCCACAGATACTCACACTAGCACCAAATTTCCAAGTAGCACCCTGTTAGGGAAAAGAAGGTGCTCTTAGACCGCAGTGGCCGATGCGTGGACTGATTTCAGTTTCTGTATTTAGGTGAAATGGTGACCGTGAAGTGGACATGGTTTTCAATGAGCAGAAGAAATGAACAAATGGAGCCGTTGGCTTTTTTTTTTTTTTTGGTCATCCCCAAAGAAAAGGCAATGAGGGGAAAGTACAATAAGTCAATCAAACTGCTTTCCCCATGTACCTTTCTGACAATGCACCACTTCAAGCCATTTCTTCCCGTTGCTTTCATTCCTTGGATTTTCTGAGTGACCAAAATGGCGGGGGGAATTAAAAACATCTCATCTCACAAGGGAGAAAGACATGTGGTAACAGATGCCCAAGCCAGAAAGTAGCTTTCAGCTGCTGTCTTCCTGCGGCCATGTTCATGTTCCCGGTGTTGGTGGTGGTGGTAGTGCCTGTTCTTCTATCAAAAATTTAGTAGCAAGCCCTCCCCCGATTTCTGCTCAGTTGCCTTTTATTTCTCCTCGATGTTTTAAGTTCTTTGGCAAACAGTTGATGTCATTAAAGAGTTTTGACTGTGTGTCCTGGCAGGAACTCAGGGCAGGCATTTCTCCTCTCAGCCCCCTAGCACACCCCCCTTAAACACCAAAGACAACCTGTTTTACGTGCCCCAGAAATCCTGTGTTTTCACACAGATCTCGATGAAAATGTTCTCTGAAACCTAGGTCGTGGTTGTGGCTCGGACAATGAGTTCAGTTAGTCTCAGATCTTTTTCCTCTTCTCCTGTGTCCATTTGCATGATCATTTTCAGTTCTCAATCCTGCCCAGTTTCCCCACGAGTGGGGGACGTCTTGAGACCCGAATGAGAGATGTTCTTGGTTAATAGCAGGAGCCAGAACTTTTTTTTTTTTTTTTTTTTTTTTTTTTAAGTTGTTTGTTTGGATTTGTTGCATGGCTGAAATGACCACGTCTTGATGAAGAGATTGACCAATTTGCAGGCTTAGAGCTAGAGAGCTAGTAGGGTCATCCCTTGGAATGAATGTGGGAGGCACTGCTTCTGTGTCCTCCACGGAGGTACTTCTCCTTTCTGCACCCCAAAATGGTGCACGACTGGTGTTCGAGAGATGGGGGTCACGTTTGGGAAACTTTTGTTTTTAAAACACTGGCCATTTGTGGCTGCCCTCTATTGATTCCCGGTCCCTAGGGATTGGTGCAAAGCACTTTGGAGAGTGTTAATTGTGTAATACGGAATGCTCCAAATCAAAGAACAATGGTGAAGCCAACATGGGGTGCCCCCTAGTGTGAGGCCGTTAAAAGTACATGTATTTAAATGCATTGTTTCCTGCCTGATTTAAGGCGATGCTATGGTAGGTAGGAATCGGATTGAAGAGAATCTTTAACATGGTGAAAAGGAAAATGCCCAGGATGCTCTGAGATAGGAGAATAAAATGTTTCTAGGGCGTAAATGTAATCATTAGACAGTCCCCGCGGAGGTCTGTGGTCAGCTGGCAGGGGTTGGGGAGGACGTAAGGTCAGTTTCTGTCTGGAGATGCCCATTGGATTTGATAACGTAGGTCTGGATGCTGAGGCATTTCAAGGAAATCTAACCCCTAGGTAAAACCCAGTTTTGATTGACACCAACTTGATATTTTACAAGTCGTCTTATTTTTTTTGTTTTTTTCATCATCTCTGTAAGTCCGGTCACAGGGAGCAGTTCTGTTTCAGAGCCCATGCTCTTCCGTGGCTAGCAAGAGGTTCTCAAGAATGGTGGTGCCCAGTGGCCTGGGCTGTACCCCAAATGCCCTGTTAAGTCTAACTTACTTGGGGGAGACAGAATACCAAGGACACCCGTACACAGACTCTGAATGAAGGGTGTGTCGGGACTCACAGGTGCCCGGATCAAGGCACCGCGATGGCATTGCAAGGGAATATCTTGAGACCAGCTCAGTCTGTGTTCTAGTGAAGCCAAAGCTTAACTATTTGAGGAGGGAAGTCTTTTAGGCTTGAAGCAACCGAATACTGTTTGTTATATGTTACTGTTTTCCTGTTTGGAAGATTCTAAGATGGCTGTGTTCTGGTAGGTAGTGAAAGATATGCCAAAGTTTTAGGCTTGATTTTTCAGTTGTTTAAGGTAAAAGAAAAAAAAAAACCCAATGGTGCCAAAAAAAGTATCTAGGGTATTTATTTAAAGCATCACGCTTCCCGAGTTTCTAACAGTCTGGGGCTGTATAAATTAGTCATGCTTTGTATTCTTGTGTGATGGTCACACAGAGCTGGTGGCTCCCGGGGCTCTGTGGCTTCCTGAGGGCCGGGGCACAGGACACCCAGCACCCCCATATCACGCTGCCTGCTTTTTTTGTTCAGTTTCTACCTCACTTTTGGCAAAAAGTCATCTACCTCATGTTCACATCTGACGGGTCTCAAGAAGAATAGTATTAATCCATGGGGGGGTGGGGGGGTGGGAGTTGGGTGTAGGAAACTACCTCTCGAAGCAATGTGTCCATAAATCGAGAACTGATTTCTCCCAGGAAAAAGGTTTGGCCTCAAAAGAGAAATGTCTGGAAATGGTAGTCATAAACCCACATGATTTTGAACCAATCTGGCCTTTTCCCCTCCGAAAGAATGACGCGTACCACTAGTGCATTGTGTTCCGGAGCTACTGGTTCATCTGACCTATCACAGGCCGTCACGACACATAAGGACCTTTAGGTCAATAACCTCTTCAAGAGAAAAACATTTTAGCTCTATTTTGAATGTCTGCAAATAAACCCTTTCCGGAGTAATTCTAAAGGTCTGGTTGTTGAGAACATTGCGTCTTTGAAGGGAACGAGAATCCTTTGACATTGTGATTATACTCGAAGCTTTCAGGATCCAGCAGGAACGTCCATCCAACCCTGATGTGGCAGCGCCGCTCTCGACCGAGCTGTGACTGGTGAAACGTGTGTTGCTCTCTTGTGTTTAAAATTTCTTTTCTACCAAAGGTAACATGTTGACGGGTTGTTGTTGTTGTTGTTGTTGTTTTAATTTTAATTTTTATTTTTTCCTTGTTTATTAAATACTTGATAACGTGGAGAAGCACATGACCAAGATATGCTGTACTGACCGCCTCTCCTCTCTTCCTGCCTCGTTGGTTCTGGGCTGGGTGGAAGAGAGAGGGCCCTCCCACCATTCATTGTGTTACTGTGAGTTGGGTGTGTAAATGTCATAGTGAAGAAATACCTCAATGATGTCTATTTTTAAAAACTGATCTTACGGGTTAACAAGCCAGCCTGGTGGGATGTTGTTCATCATCATTTTAACCAGTAATGGTTCTAAACGTTTTGTGTATCCACACGGTCTTA